CAAATTTTTAATATTGCTATAAAAATTACTGTGAAGTTTCAAGTCTCTAGGTCATCGGAAAATTGGTCAAAAATTTATTGCATGATTTACCCTTAACAAACATACTTACATACATATATACAGAGCAAGTTAAATAGTTTGACATTTCTGTAGAGGAATTTCATACATTAGTTATCGTCCTATGTTAAAAAATATCTTTCGCTATCGTATAAGTTCCGAGGGCATAGTTACAATTCACAATTGACCACATTCACAATGGAATGGCCCATCGATAAAGTGAGAAATATCTTAGCAGCCTAAAATTGAATCAAAATTTTCGGTGCACTGACTTCGAATATCCCAGCAAAAAATCGGTAATCGCTTTTAGTGGTAACGTGTTCCAGAAGGCATTGCGTTATAATTTTAAACTTAATTAAATATGCATGTATGTACATACCGATTTTTAAGTAAAATCTAAGTACCCAAATACATACATATGTATGTATAAAAACTGATTTATAAAAATTTTAATATTTTAAGACATTTTCTAATTTAAATTTAATATAAATAAGTATGGACTTATCTAAGAATTCTACATTAGTTTCTCTGTAAGGCATTCTTTGTTCGCTTCACTGGATTCTGTTTATCCATGCGTTTTCCGTTCGTTTGAAGGTAGCTGTGGGTAAGGGCTTACCGCCAATGGCATGCCCATGTTAAAATAATGCCTTCTGTTTCTGTGGTAATCGTGTTTTTTGCTGGGATACTACAGGGAAAAGTAATACCAAAACGTAAAACATGTTAATCTTGTTCTAATATAATATTCCCAATTATTTTCATGAAAATTTTTTTGCATTAAATATTTATGAAAACATAGTTCATTCTGTAATATATACCATATAAATCAAAGTTTCACATTTTACATATATAAAGTTAACAAAAATTCAAAAATTTTGCATCAGAATTTTCAACTTTTTATTCAGAATTTCTAGAAAATTTTCGAGTATGCAGTTTTGTAGCCCATTCAGTTTTAGTCTGATGAGTGGCAAGTTTCAAGCGGCTAAAAAATGCAGTTGATTTTTCAGATTTTTTTTCGGATTTATGAATCTTTTTCCATATAAGCATGAATTTCTTATAAAATTAAATGCGGGAGACCGTTAGCAACAAAATTTCAAAAAACCCACTCCAGTTTTTTTGTAAATTTCACTTGTTTTATATATAAAAAAACACAAAAGCAATCTCCAAAAAAAGTCTCAAAAATCAAGGGGATTTTTTAGCCGTTTGAAACTTGCACTTCATTACATAGACTAAAATTGAATGGGCTACAAAACTGCATAATACGAGTATCAATTGCATATAATTTATTTTACCAATGAACTTCCGCATGACGTCTTCCTCTTTAGTAGTAACCAGCCTATGGGGATACTAAAATAAAAATGCAGCTGTAATTCAATTACAGAAAGCTCTTAACATATCGTCAATAAGTATTTACTTAACTATGTACATCTGTATGTAAGTATGTACACTTATATATGCAAGCCANTGCATATAATTTATTTTACCAATGAACTTCCGCATGACGTCTTCCTCTTTAGTAGCAGCCAGCCTATGGGGATACTAAAATAAAAATGCAGCTGTAATTCAATTACAGAAAGCTCTTAACATATCGTCAATAAGTATTTACTATATTAACTATGTACATCTGTATGTAAGTATGTACACTTATATATGCAAGCCAACAATACTTTAATGCGAGTTAATAATACTTTTAATGTTGATTTTTTTAATGCGCTATAAAAGTTGAATGCATAACTTTTTCTTTTAAATTTTAAATGAACGCTGTTTAATATGCTTTTTTGCCATTTTATTTCGCTGACTATTCGAAAAAATATGTTGACTAAATCACTTTAATCAATGTTTACGAGTGGGCTAAGCAGCCAAATTATCGGATTTATATGCGGCTATGTATCAACAATTTCGAAAATACATAATTTTCAAATAAACCAAAGCAGTTATGGTTTGTTTTGTAGCAATTAAAGAGCAAGTTCATGGGATCGTTTACAATAAGTTTATATACATTAGGCTGGTCCAAAGAAAGTAAAGTAGGAATTTTAATGCTACCACGTTCTACGATTGTGCTATATCGAATAAAACATTATATTCAGTTTTTTTTCATGCAGCAATAAATATCAGAAGTAGATTGTTAGTAGATGTTCATCTAATATTTTATGTCGAATATTCGAAAGTCGGGGCATACAGAAAGGAAATGTTGAATACTTTCTTCGCTATCATCTACCCGACAGCTGCGACGAGTCATATTATGGGGTAGTCCTATTTTTACCGCATCTTTGCCTAGGCGACAGCATTCGTCCTTTTGTCGCCATTTCATAGTTTTCTCGATATCTTACAGGTTTGTATATCTAACCTGCTGCGTCTAGACAGTTCAAGTAAATGCAAACNCAAAAATTGAATGCATCACTTTTTCTTTTAGATTTTAAATGAACGCTGTTTAATATGCTTTTTTTTGCCATTTTATTTCGCTGACTATTCGAAAAAATTCGTTAACTAAATCACTCTAATCAATGTTTACGAGGGGGCTAAGGAGCCAAGCTATCGGATTTATATGTTGCTATATATCAGCAATTTCGAAAATACATAATTTTCACATAAACCAAAGCAGTCATTGTTTGTTTTGTAGCAATTAAAGAGCAAGTTCATCGGTTCGTTTACAATAAATTTATGTACATTAGGGTGGTCCAAAGAAAGTAAAGTAGGAATTTTAATGATCCCACTTTTTAGGATTGTTCTATATCGAAAAAATTGTTTTATTATGTTCCGTTTTTTTCATGCAGCAATAAATATCAGAAGTAGATTGTTATAGGAGTAGATCGGTTAGTTGTGCTACTAGATGTTCATCTAATATTTTATGTCGAATATTCGAAATCCTGGGCATACAAAAAAGAAATGTTGAATACTTTCTTCGCTATCTTCTACCCGACAGCTGCGACGAATCGTACTATGGGGTAGACCGCTTCTTTGCCTAGGCGACAGTGCCCCGCGATGATTGCTACAATTCTGAACAGGTTCGTCCTTTTGTCGTCATTTCATAGTTTTCTCGATATCTTACGGGTTTGTATATCTAACCTGCTGCGTCTAGACAGTTCAAGTAAATGCAAACTAATATCTCATCGGACTATTCCAAAACGGTAATCCATTGCCACCGCTTCGGATTCGTCCAAACCGGCTCCTGCTTTCGCCAATTCATCAGCACACATTAGCTTCTATGTTCCTCTATCTGTAAACCCACACAAGAAAGAGGGTAGGTGACTGAGGTATTGAGCTCAGTATCACTTTGAATTCCCTAACTAGCTTAGATATGGTAAGCAGGGAAGGTAATGCTAATGGGCTGTCCCTTGGCTGTCAGAATGTATTGTTGCTTTACTCTTGTACACAACTATATTGCCTTATCTATACACGATTTGAGGATACCTCGATCCAATCATAGAGGCAGAGCAAAATCAAGTTCATTCTGCTCCCACACTGCAATCCATCTTGGTGCCGTCGGTGTATAGAGAAGTACTTAGCCTCTCTGTCTGCCACTCGGTCTCTCCTCTAGTATCTTCTGGAAAGTAGTAACACTTCCACGTTACAGCTGGGCACCAGATTGCCNACTTCGCCAATTCATCAGCTTTCACATTAGCTTCTATGTTCCTCTGTCTGCAAACCCACACAAGAAGGAGGGTAGGTGACTGAGGTACTGAGCTCAGTATCAATTTGAATTCCCTAACTAGCTTAGATTTGGTAAGCAGAGAAGGTAATGCTAATGGGCTGTCCCTTGGCTGTCAGAATGTATTGTTGCTTTACTCTTGTACACAACTATATTGCCTTATCTATACACGCTTTAAGGATACCTCAAACTTCCCTTTGGAAGATAATTGTTCTTTTCTCAATCGTGGAAACAGCGCAATGCCGAGTTCCTTAGAGTAAACTCCCGCTCCCACACTGCAATCCATCTTGGTGCCGTCGGTCTCTCTGTCCGCCACTCGGTCTCTCCTCTAGTCACTTCTGGAAAGTAGTAACACTTCCACGTTACAGCTGGGCACCAGATTGCCGACCATATAGTCTGTCTTCGTACTTTATTTCATTTCATTTATCATTGTCCCATGGCCGAAGTGCCTAGTCCCCTAGAGACCTGACATTCTGAGTCTGATCGCCGATTTCATAGCCACTTCTTTCAAGTGAAGATCGATAGGATTCAGGATGAGAAGAGCGCTTCTGTTAGGCAGGATCTTACTGCACCTATTACTCCTGCTCTTGCTGTCATTTGTATGCTTCTTGGTTTGCTTCGTACGGGCCACCAGACTAGACCGCCGTATGTAAGGATTGGTCTTATGATCGCGGTATACATCCACCTCAGAAGTTTAGGTTTTAAATTAGAAAGGAAAAATGGACGAGTACTTGAAGTGGGCTATTCTTTTTGATTCTACCTAGTTTGAACGTCAAAAAAACATTTTTTTCTTAATTAATTAAAAAAAACAATTATGAAAGAACTGACAGATGCATTAGGCCTATAAGAAAATACATACATATGTACATTAACAAAAATTAATTTTTCATATTTAATTTTACTTGCTTCGCCTTTGGATGCCACCAAAAAGTTTTAAATGAAACGGTTAGACAATTAAACTCTTTTTTCTGAGAAAATAAAGACTAATTGGTTTTACAAAATGTTTGTATTTCATTCAATATTTTATTTTATATATACATATTACAAATCTTTGTACAACATTTTTATAAAAGAGAATTTTTTCTAAACTCTTTTCTAAAGCCTAAAAAAATCGTTTTTATAACATAATACTTACCCACATTAAGACCCATAAAAATGAACAAAACCAAAAACATTCTGAATAAAAATAAAACAACAAACAGCAAATGGCCTTAATAAGGGTGCAGCACTTAAATAGCAATAAATTTCGGTGAATTTAAAAAAGAAGATATAAAAATAAAATAAAAACATGCAAAAATTAAAACAATACATATGGATGTATGGACATAAAAATAGCAATAACTAAATGTAGAGCTTCATGACTAATTTGTACACGTTTAGAAATAATGTTATGATAGATTAGAAAAATAAATAGAAAAGAANCTTTCTTCCATACCGGCTTCCAGATGAGTTTCTTGCGCCACAGATCGTGACTGGTGTATTCCCAACCTTCGTGATCTTTACCCAAATACTTTTCGCCCGGTATGCCCATCTTCACCCACTCGGGCACGAACATCTGCTTCCAGTCGGGCACTTGCACTTCACGCCACACCGGCACTTGGATTTCCTTCCAGATGGGCACTTGAATCTCCTTCCACACCGGTACTTTCACTTCCCGCCACACTGGCACTTGGATTTCTTTCCATACCGGCACTTGGATCTCACGCCACACCGGCACTTGTATCTCTTTCCAAATGGGCTTTGTTATCTTCTTCCATTCGGGTACTTTTTCCTCTTTCCACGCGGGCACTTCGCGCTCTTCAATGTGTGGCTTTTTGACGATCTTCCAATCGGGCACCTGTACTTCCTTCCAGATGGGCACTTGCACCTCCTTCCAAATGGGCACCTGTATCTTCTTCCATTTCGTTTCCCACGCTTCCTTCTTGATTGTCTTCCAGACCTGCACCCAATCTTCCTTCCATGTGAGTTTCTTCTTCCACACACCCTCGGGCGGGTGAGCGTATGTGAAGCTTAGGATAAGCGCGCAGCTGGCGCCTAGCAGCTGCAAAAGATAGGGAAAAGGGAAAGATGTTTTTAAGTAAATTGTGAGAATTCTATTGGCGTTGTTTATAGTTAAACTAAAAGGGCAAGTATTGGAATATAAAAAAAAATATTGCAAGCTCTTCCGATGTAAATTTAAAAAGTTTTTTGCCGCTTTTGTGAAGTTTTAGTTTTATAAAGTAGGACCATATGCGGGTGTATTTCTTAAAAAAAAAAAACTTCTAACAGATCTTACTGCGCTGGTTCGCTGGTTACAGAAATTTTGTAATCGGTAAGTTATATTGGAACTTAATTTACTCTTCTTAGTACAATTTTCGGTTGCAAATGCTCGGACACCTTCAGAATAGGCCTGTATATCGAAGTGTTATTTTAACATAAATTCTCTTTCAATTTGTTGTCTGCATCTTGATATTGTCTCACAAATGTAGAAATCTACAGTTCAGCGCCGCTTCCGAACGGAAATTGGTTATTCTGAGCACACTTTATGAGGTAGAGGGACACTTGCAGATATATGTCCTTCTTCTTATTGTTTGACGTTGTTTGGCAGAGTTCAATAAATCACAGTAGTACCAACTGAACTTGGAAATGTCAACTATAGCCAGGATTTTGGAAATCCCGAAAATTGGTATTTTAAGGCCTTTCTTTAAACACAATTTTTTCTCTGATTATAGCGCCCGCACTATTTTGTTGACCTTTTTTCTTTTATTGCCATCATTATTGACTAAAAAGCTTGAAAATGTTCCGAAAATCGGCATTTAAAAATTGTTATTATTTACCATGGAAATTAATGTGGAGCAGGCGCCAAAAAAGCTGTGATTTATACATATAGTAAAAAAAAAAGTTGTTTAGCCGAACGTAGGAGAAGCTTTTTACATTTTCGGATCCTAAAGTATGATATGTTCATCTTCTTGTCTGAACAATTTTCAATTCCGAGTTCATTGACCTCAAGTACTCCATTCTAGTACTTACCCAACAGACCTCAGTTTTTATGACCTAACGTACCACCCTAATGAGAGTAAATTAAAGTTGACTAAAAATTATTGAACTTTGGCTAAGAACTATTAAAAAAAAATTATTGTCGATTGAAGGTATCACCCAGAAATGCAAAAAAGGCGTTCCCTAGGTTCGGCCAAAAGAATGACGGTTTTGCAATAATCTAACAGAAACACAGTTGGAAAAATTACACCTCAGTAGCCGAAAAACTCTAAAAAACGATTATTTCCTATAAATAGTTGAAAAAACATGGATGAACCACATACCTGGGGGTAAGCTTATTTTTATGTAAGGCTCAATACAACCTCAATTATACCCATAAAAGTAATATAAAATATAAAATACAAGAATATCGGATAAAAAATGGGCAAACATGCTTTATGTAGAAGGAAAACTTGAAACATGAACTGAACTGTAAACTAAAAACAGAAAAAAAATGAAAATTTGTTGAACTATAATATACTTTAGTTAGAAAATCGAATTTACGTGGTATTTGTTATAGAATATCCCACGTAAAAAATAACAAGATAAAACTGTTGAGAGGCAGTCTGACGTTTGCCAGCAATATTCTATTCTATTTTTGAACAAATTAAACCGTTTTTTATGATTTTTTTTTTTGTCAAGAAAAATCAGATTTAATTTTTTAGATTATAAACGATTTAGAACGGTCGTAAAAATGTAGTCCCCATTATAACGATTAAAAATTTTCGAAAAAAATACGACCCAAAAATATCGATTTTTTTTTTTAAGTATAAAAAACACAAAATAATGATTAAATTTGATCGACAAAATTAAACTATAAATTTTGCGAATAATTTTTGGTCGGAAAAATAAAAACCAAAAAATAACGATTTTGCAATGATCTAAAAAAATCTTGATAATGAACGGTTATTTTCTGCCCCTGGCATAAAGTGACTAGAAGAATGATTCATGTGTTGTTTTTTTTTTTTAATATTCACAATGTTTTTCTAGTAAGATGTTTTTCTGAATTTTTGCCAGTTTCAAACGTTATACACAATTTAGGAAAATTCAACAAACTTTCATCAAAGTTTCGATCCTTTTAAAACATGTTTGCGCATGAAGTGTTATAACCAGTACTAATTTAGTTTAATGGAGTGTAAGTTTAAAGTGGCTAAAAATTGCGTTAATTTTTAATACTTTATTTTTTTTTTTGTAAATACAAATTTTTTAGGAATTAAAATGCGTTTTCAACTAAATTTAAAAAAAATCAACGCCACTTTTATAAATTGCAAAAGACGTCATCAAAATAAATTTATTAAAAACCAACGCGATTTTTTTAGCCGACTGAAACTTTCACTTCCTTCGACTTAAATTGTAAACCTGCATAGTTAAAAATGTTCTAAAGATTCAGACCAACAAGCACAAACTTTTGATAAGACTTGTTGAATTTTCCGAAGTTTTGATTATAACTTAGTTTGAAGCTTCGCTTATATGGTTTTGCTTAAAGCTTGCACAATATTTTTGTTGGAAATTTACTACAAAAATTTACTTGAAAAACATTATGAATATAAAAAAATCAACGCGTGAATACTTGTTTGAGTCACTGTATATTGTTAAATTTTTAATATCGACCGACATACAGATAGACTCCATTACAATGGTTTGTTAATAACCTACGGACACTTTTCTCATGTTCAGGGGAAGCGCTCCGAATTCTAAGTTTTCATAAAAAAAAAATTGTTCAAAAATTCTTGTTCAAAAATATTTATGTCGTGGCGCTGACACAAATTTTGATAACAGAGTTTGGAGCAGCCAACCTTACTGAGATTTCCACTTTTGATGCTGAAAAAATTCAAAAAGAATTTCATAACTGCCTTAGATAAATAATTTATCTGTAATTTTCTCTAAAGAAAGCTAAAGAACTCTGTCTATAGTTGTTCAGTTTCTGAGCTAATCCTTAAATGTCCGGGTCCTATTGCGGTTGTCGTTCGGAGCATAACAGACCAGACGTACCCCTTGGTCGGGAGGTCAAGAGTTTGGTACGCAAGGTTTTTTACGAAAATAAAAATAAAACTTTGACACAACACAATTTCTTCTAATGAAAGCAGGACTAGTTTTGATATAAAAATATAAACTACAAAATTATAAATGACGTTTTACGAACTTTTAGAACCGCAACTAGCTACGATGTACCGTACTAACTTTCGTTGATTTTCTAGTCAAAATCAAAATAATTTTTATTAAAAAAAAATTGTCGCGCATAAATTTTAGGTCGTTTTTAGTAACAAAAATCTTCAGAGTAGAGCAATAAACATTTTTGGTGTCGTAGCATTAAACCCGCAGAATTTTCTGTAGGGACCTGTGTAAAATCAGAAGAAGGGTTTGCAACGCATAAAATAGATTACCCAGCGCAATGGGAAGCGATTAAGCCATCCCTGTACAAGGACTATTGGCTCTGTCTAACTAATCCCACTATAAGGTTTGTATATTTAACCTTAATATTACACATTTTATTTTAGCAATTTTTCATAGATGAGCATATTTTTTATGAAAAAACGCGCAAATGATTATATTTTTTAAGATATGATCTGCACAGCTTATATAATCCTTTTGTTTCGCGGAAGTCCTTGCTTTAGCACGTAAGTTGGCATAATTATAAGTTTTATTGCTTTCTGCGTTTCAATTGTTTAGCATACTTATATTTTATTTTACATTTTTAATTGCTTAAGTTCGCTTTTTTCAATCGATTCAGCTTTTTTATTATAACCAGCACTTTGAACCGTTTTTCACACTATTTGTCTTTAGGTCACGCAAACACATTCCATGAGTTTTGCAATTTTTTTGTATAATTATTTTAAATATTTCTATTTATCAAACAAAAACACCCACCAGTAAATTTAGGGATCTCATCACTTGTCCCCTTGCGTCGCGTTTAAAGGCGGGTACTGTTTAACAGCAGTGATTGTATGCCTCCGCTGAGGTCTTCCAAAAACACTACCTGCATTTCTCCGCCGCACATCTATTTATATTTTGGAAAACAAAACTTCGTTTATCAAAGCCAAAAGCAGCAACAGCAAGAAGCGCCGCAGCGACAGCAATGCAATGGAGCAGCAGCAATGGCCGCAGCAATGAAATGAGCGCAAGCCAAAAGGCAACTAACCAAAAAAACCAAAACCAACAAAAGCTTCACCTCACACTCATTGTCAGCTAACAATGACACCGGCTAAAATGCGGCAAAAGCGTCAGACGATGCAGTCGCTGATCTTTAATAGAGTCGGTCAGTCTCAGTGACGCCACCGCCACCGCCACCGCCACCGATGTTGGTCACCACGCATAAGTCCAATAGTAGCAACTCGTAAATGAATCAACGGCCAGCCAACGCAGCGCGGCGCGCAAGACCAACGTAAAATTGCCGAAAATTGCGCTTGCGCCGAACCTACCTTGCACACCCGACGCATTACAAACACAACAAAAATTACTTGTGCAAAAAATTTTTTGTATGCCAAAAATTGCTGACTTTGCCACTTGTGGAGCAACAGCTTAAGAATTCAACACGGCGTCGAATCTCCGAAGCCGGGCAAATGCAAGGAGCAATAACACGGTTGAATGCAATTTCACCACACCTGAGCGCATTTGGGTCTAACGAGAGTGAGAGTGCATTCCACAAGCAAAAGCAAAAGCAACAGACTGTAAAAAGAGTCAGGCAGACAGCACGAAAAGTGAGAGTCAAGTTACGGTAAAGCCGTTAAATTTAAATTTTTATTATAACCACAGCTAGTAGTAGCCAGTGTGTGGGTATGCAAATATGTATGTATGCATGCTGCTAATGGTACTTCTTGCCGCTGGCATTGCCGCCGTTGAAGTGGTGGCATTAACACCGCCAACTCTGGCGCCGCTCTTTGCAGTCAGCTGCACACCTTCGGCCAGTGCGAATATGTCCCACTTGAAGTGCCAAGCACAGTTTGATATGAAATTAAGTGGAATTAAGTGATGTGGCGTCAAGTTATGTATGCACGTACATATATGTACGTACATGTGTGGAGTGCAGTGGATACGAATAGTGGTGAAGAGGTTAGCATGGAGCTTGTTGTAATAAGGTTATCTGCAGTGCGCTGTTTGCTGAAGTACACAACCGTGAGCGATGTGCAGGTGTTTGCGTTTTTTGTTTTTTTTCTTTGTAAGGTCGAGTGTAGCTGAGCAAAGACACGGATACCCTTTAAAAGTTGTTACAAGAAGGAGTTTGTGGGAAAGCTTTAAATCAATAAGCCGTTCAAGGACATTTTAAGCGATATTAAACTGGTGTTAAAGAATCAAGTTACTTTGGGTATTTTAAACCTTTCACTTCAGTCAGTTTCCATACAAGTGACCAACTGCGCAAATTCGATGTAATTGTTTTTTCACTCAATCAAACTGACCATTGCGTATACTAGGTCGTGAAAAAAGTTTAGAATTACCAGGGCTCCATCCTTCAAGGTAGAATATCGAAACCGTTTATTTTATCAAAAAAGATATCAGGCTTAAAATATTCAAAAAAAAGAAAAAAATCTCGAAGAAATTCAAAAAATCGCATAATTTATTTTTTTCATAGTTATTTAAACTATAAAAAATACTTGGTATATTTTTCCGACAAAAACCTGCTACATTGTAAGAAATAGTGAGAGTCAAGGAAGTCATATTTTTTCGGAAACTACATACAAATGTATGTATGTATGTAATATTTTGAAGAGGGTTGATCGAGTTTAGTTATACGAAATATCAAAACATGGATGTCAAACGAAGGAGTGCTAAGAAATCTTTAGTTTCAACGCCAATAATATTTTTGAGGTGTTGTAAGAGGGTTGCCACCTGTTTAAAAAGTTAAATTCAAATTATTTTGCAAGGTAAAGGACATATACATACATATGGGTATTAATCGAAGCCGGTTTGAAAGATGTTTGTTGCTGAACTGTATTTAGCGGGGTTGCCACATGTTTAAAAATTAAAATTCCACTTAATTCATCAGTTAATTAAAATAAGTATCGCAGTCTCCGGCCAAGAAGAGTTAACAATGATTAAGCTTCCAAATACTTTTGAAGAGGGCTGCCACCAGTTTGAAAGGTCTAACTCAATTAACTAATTCAAAAAGTATATGAAATATAAAAATACCGTAGTCAAACGAAAGAATGGTAAGAAATCTTTAGTTTGAGCATTTCGTATGTTTGAAGAGAGTTGCCACATGTTTCAAAAGTTACATTGAAATTATTCAGTTGGACGAATTATTAAAAAATTGGTGTAAATCGAAATGGGTTTGAAAGGGATTTATTCCAGACCTTTACTTAGGAGAGTTGCCATTTGTTCGAACAAACAAATTCGAATTAGTTCTTCAGCTTATTGAAATACATGGGTATCACAATGCCAGACGAAGGGGATTTAAGAAGATTTTAGTTTGAGAATACTTTTGAAATGGACTTCCAAAAATGAGAGGTTAAATTAGAGACCTTAGCCTCTAGATGTATGATAAAGTTTTATATATTTAATTAAGCAATTTTTTCATCGGTATAGGGTGATTTGAAATTCGATGAAAATAAAAAGATGAACTATGCGAGACTGCTCTTCACTCAGAAACGGCTGCACGGTTTTGTTTTTTTAAGTTTTTGAAATTCAATTTCGGGCGTTTTAACGTCATGCGGGTTCACTAGTTGGCTATATTTTACGGAAGCAAACCTCTCCGAAGAAGCTACTACTGGGGTTTGCAAAAGTTGTCCGATTTAAATTTTTTATGGTAGCTATGGGGTTAGAGGTGCATACTACCATCCGGTGGAACTAAGGTTCGATACCTAGTCTCCCCTCGATTGGCAATGGAAACTTGCCGAGTGAAGTTGTAATGACCTAGTGATATCAACGCAACACACTACTGCCGAAAGATCGCCAATTTCACTACTTTGCGCCCCATTGATTACCAAGACAATACCGATAATTTTTCAACAACTGTCGTCGTGATATTTTGTATAAGACTAGCTGCTTTGGAAAACACTGCAGTCGTTCGGTAGACGAAAATACTTACTGATTTGAAAGTCCACCGAGTAGGAACTGGTGTCGGTTCCTAACTCCATCAGCGTGTCTGCATATATCATAATATGCCATTTGCATTTTAATTAAAGTCCCAAGTCGGCGTAATGTATTCAGCGCTGGCTGCTCATTCCATTTTGCCGACCAGTTTTTATTTTAGCCAGTATTGTCGTATATCTGAAGTTATTTCATTTTCATTTGTCGGCTTCCTTAAATTTGAGAACGCTTTGGATTGAAGTTAAGTGCATTTCATTAAGATTTTAGCATTCAAACGGCTACGAACTTAAGTGGAAATAATCTATAACACATATCTATGTACATATAATGAAATTCACACCTCACATATAAAGGCGTATTTTTTTTATAACATCCAATTTGCTATTGCCTAAAACTTTAATAATAAACATATTCAAAACTTGTTGCTCACCATAGCGCAATGTTATTGTCTGAAATGGCTATTTACAATGAAAAATGCTAAGTAATCTCATAAGCTAAGTAGCGCCGAGTTTGGTAACCCCCAAACAAAAGACTTAAGCAACGAACTTGCGATTGAAAAAACCCACAATCAATCAGCACCAATCGATAGGGCAACTTTATAATCGCATTAAAGCAAAGGCGGCATTGAAATTTCAGTAAAAAATAGGCATTAAGTTTTTAACAAAAATTTAAAAAAATAAAAAACGTATTAAATGGGAGAAAAGCATATTGTGCTAAGAAATGGGCTATCAAAGCACTTGAAATATTTATGAATTATAAGTGATAAATTTTATTGCGCGGCGAAAACGAAATTAATTGTAACAATTACGGCGTACTTAAAAATTGTTGATGCTCTTGCATTTACACAAAAAAGCTACGAAATTTAAATCGCATTTTTGTGGTGGGCGCTCGAATGCAGTAGTTCCGTGAGCTCTTTACTCTCTCAAATATGTCAAAGTTAGTTAATGTTACAAGTTTTACTTCTTCTTTACTGTCTATAACGCTGCAGTGATACTTTTTTAATATAAATATTTTCTTTTTTTTGCTACATACATACTTATGTACATTAGACTGTATCACCAAAAAAGTTGCTTTTTTCGCTAGGATTACAAAATTTTGTAGATTTGAAGACGTCCACCGAAATATTTCTGTAAAATATTAAGATTTACGAGAGCTGGACCGATATGAAAATTCCTCCAAATATGAATTTTTTTTATGAGTAAAAATAGTTTCTTAAAATTAGAATTTTTTGAAAAAACCCCCTCAGTTTAAGCTTAAAAAAATCTGCATAAAAATATTTAAAAAGTTTTTCAACGGTATCGTAATCATGAGATTTTTGATGCTTTTTTTTTAATTTTTTTTCAAAGATTGTTTTAAGAAAAACTTGAATAACTGGGCCAAAACCATTTCTAGTTAGACTTATGAGGTATCAGTGGAAAAGTATTTTCCAACGCTTTTTTTATTTCTTTGATTTATTACGATTTTTTTATTTTTGTTAATAAAAACTTCCATTTTTGGAGGTATTTTCAAATCGGTCCAGCTCACGTAAATCTTAATATTTTCCCGAAATATTTTGGTGAAAGTGTTAAAATATAATAAATTTTATAATTCCGATAGAAACACAGTAACGATTTTTTTTTTTTTTGTATGGGAAGTGATGCAGTCTAATGTACAATATGTATGTATGTATGGTTGTATTTACTTCTTTCTTCTGCCAACTACTTTTTCGTTTTTCTCTCGCGCCTTCCATGTATATATGTAAATATTTTGTTTTTATTTTTCATTTTGTCAAACCCGTGAATTCCGCGCTGATTTGCGAACGACCTCTACGGGACGAGACGCTGCCAACAGAAGGTTGTACGACCAAATAAATAAATACAACTAAAGTTGTTGTAATATTTATAATTTCCACATATTGCGTTAGACTTAGTTTTTATTGTTATTAGTAGAGACAGACATTTTATTGTTTTGCGTCGACGGTTTTCAGTTTTTATGACTCATTTCGTTTTTAATAGCCTTTGATGGATTTTATTTTCATCTTAACTGTTTGCAGGCTAGTAGTTTTTATATATTTTGTTGTTGCTTTTTTCTTGTTTCAGCTATT